ACTTTTTTTTTTTTCGTCAGCGGTCGATTTACGATGAGTTTTTTTTTGCATATTTTTCTGGTGAAAAATACATTGAATTTGAAATTCTTGCAAAAATCAAATAATTGTCGGATTTTAATGAAATCTTCCTGATTAATTTACAACAGAATTAAATTATTTTTAAAATTTTTTCGGTAAAATAATTTTTTGTTTTTTACATTTAGTAGCCACCAATTTATTTCGTAAAATTTCGAAAAATTAAATTTCAATCTCAAAATTTGTTTTATTAGTTAAAAGCAGGAGAATATAAATCATTTATTCTTTCAAACTACTACTCATTTCCCATAAATCTGCTCAGAATCGTAAAATAAAAAATGCAATAAAACTATGGCATTATTTAGTTAGAAAAGCTTTTGATTGCTTTTATAAATAAGATTTATTAAGGACACTATTGATTTAAGAAAATTTTTTTTCGATGAATAATGAATTTTTACAAGAATTGTTTTCATTCTTTTTAAATTTTAATTATAATAATTTATAATATTATAGATAATTTAAATTTATGTATTACTTCTATACTGTTATTAAGGGAAAACTATATTTGCGAATTAAAAATTAAAAAGTTGTTTTGCACGAGATTTTTCAAAAAAATTTTTTTTCGTTTTTTTTTTTAGTGCATGAACATTCTCATTTTTGTAAGTATGGTAGCCTATATATGGTAATATCGTTAAAAGGTCATGTGTTAAATCTTTTCAATGTTACACATAGTTTCATTTTTTTTCGTATATATTGTTTAGGGGATAGGATTAAATTTTAATTACTATAAAAATTAATAAATAAAATAATTTTAACATTTCATGAACCATTATGATAACAACTAATAATAAGAATAAAATTAAAAGTAAGTAAGATATCAAAAAATATAAATTAATAATAAATAAAATTCCATAACATTTCATAAATTATTGAGTCACGCCTATCATGGTATTTAATTAATATCTCAGTAAATTTTAATTAATTTGAGAAAATTTTATAGTATTTTAAATTTCATTATTTTTTCAGAAAGTATCATCAAACGTAAGGCCATAAAGCTAAAGTAGATAAAATTCAATGAAATATTGGATAATTGCTGAAAATATGTTAATTTTTAAAAATTACTTGGTAGTTAAAAAAAAAAACAAAAAAAAAAAAAAAGGGTTCACTTAGATTTCGTAAGTTTATGTCAATTCTGGTCAACCATACTTAGCTGTCAATACGTCAGGTTGCCAGTAAATTAATCATCATGTCCGAAAAACAAGACCCGTGGTTAAGAAATGCTAGTATACTACGTTTTATGCTATGAGTAATATTTGTTTCAAATCAGATTAATTTAACTTTAAATTTGCTAATTTTCCTCAAATAACGTGTCACACACACACACACACACACACACACACACACACACACACACACACACACACACACACACACACATACATATATATATTTGTAAGATTTTCAAAACAGAATTAAATCTTCTTTTCAAATGTGTCAAAATGGCTGAATTTAAATGATTTTTTTTGAGATGCGAATCAATATAATTTCTATTTGGAATACACTCTAGTATTTTGCTTACTGGAAATAGTAAATTTAATGATTTAGCTTTCAATTAAAGCTAAAAAGGAAGCTTCTGGAAAGCTTTTTCATTTATAAAAATTAATTTTAAACCTTAGGTATCAAAACTGAGAGGAGGTACCTAATTTTATTTCTATCCGCAATTTTGCGTAAAATAGTAAGGTTGACTGAGATTGCTGGCTTTGTGTAGCAGTTTGTAGGAGAAAGGGAAGCCTGAATTCAAAACCGCCTAGAAAAACAAATGAAAATCACTATATTTTATTTCTACCAGCAATTATGCGTTAAATAGCAGAGTAGACTGTGCTTTCTAGCCTTGCATAACAGCTTGTAGGAGAAATGGAAGCCTGAATTAAAAACCGTCGATAAAAAAAATAAAATCACTACATTTTACTTCTATCCGCAATTATACGTTAAATAGTAGGGTAGACAGAGCTTTCTAGACTTGTGTAACAGCGTATAGGAGAACGAGAAGCCTGAATTCAAATCCGTCGATAAAAAGAGGAGAAACACTACATTATATTTTTCTCCACAATTATGCATTAAATAATAGTTTTTTTTTGCCTTGGGTAACAGCGTGTAGGAGAAGTGGAAGCTTGAATTAAAAACCATGGAAAAACAAAGAATACCACTACATTGTATTTCTACACAAAGTTATGCTTTAAATAGCAGGGTAGATTGAGCTTTGTAGCCAAGGGTAACAGCTTGTAGGAGAAGGGGATACCTGAATTCAAAACTCTGGGGAAAGCTACGAAAACCATTAAATTATACATCTTATAGGATCTCTAGGATATTATGGAAAATTCAGTTAATAATTAACAGGAAGATGTAGGCAGTTATGATCTGCTATGTCCTAAAGTGTCATTGTACTGTAAAAACAAGTGCGATAACTAGGCATAATTCGTCATGGTACAATAATTAGACGAGTATTTTATTATCAAGGCACTAAATTCTATCCTCACAGCTGCAAATCTGATATCTGTTAATGAATTCAATATATTTTATCTAAACAGTCAGTGTATTTGGTGGAGGAAGATAAGCCTTTTAAACGTTTATTTATTAGTTAACAATTGTTACTCTTTTTCTTTCTTTCTCTCTCTCTTTCTTTCTCTCTCTCTCTTTCTCTCTCTCTTTCTCTCTCTCTCTCTTCCTCTCTCTCCCCTTGCCTCTCTATCTTTTAGTATTTTAGTAATTTCCAAGCCGATGTCTTATGTTTGTCGTTAACAAAATTTATCATATATATAATTTTATTTGCGGATCACATTTTCCTTCCTCTCTCTCTCTCTCTCTCTCTTGGTCTCTCTCTCTCTCTTTATCTTTCTTTGTCTATAGATGGATAGAGATATAAATAGATAGGTAGAAAATTTAATTTGGTGTCCCTGTTAAATTTTGTCAGTTCAAAATTAAAAGTAATGATTTGATAATGCCTAATTACACGTGTTATTGTTTTAATTATTGATACTATCGGTAAAACGTTTATATTAGATTAATAAAAATTCAGAAAATCATACAGATAACCATGGAAAATTCCTCAAAAGTCTTGGCCAGATTGGAAATGTAGGACCCATTTCAAAACTTCTCTTTATGTAATCATTAATAAATATTTTTCTGATTCTCCTTTAAAATATCAATATTTGGTGCTAAACGATCCTACTTAACGCAACGTACAATATTCTTTACCAAAGGGTCCTCCTTTGCTTCTATTCTGGTCTATGAGACCCCCACCACTACCACCACCGCCTCTTAATATCATACTCCCATGTTCAGCAGATCCCTATGACTTTTCATTTTTATACTGCTTAAAAAATGGACATAGGCACTTTGTAGATTTCTATTATATTTGGCGCATGCGCGCAAATATGAATCTATGAATATGCGAGTTTTGTATGTACTACAGGTTTTACAAGATGACTGGTTACAACTTATTTTTGAACACAGACTCAATACAAAGTCAATCGTGTCACCAATATCTCCATTTAACAAAACAAACATCTTTAATAATGCCATGACTAATCTCCAACCACTATTACCATTTTAATTTTCATATGCCCATACAAGTATGTATTTTAAAGCTATTACACACACACATACATATATATACGCATGTTTATATATATATATATATATATATATATATATATATATATATATATATACACGCATGTTTATATATATACGCATGTTTATGTATGCATATATATATATATATATATATATATACTATGTATATAAATATATATACGCATGTTTATATATATACGCATGCTTATATGTATATATATATATATATATATATATATACGCATGTTTATATATATATATGCTCATATTTATATATATATATATATATATATATATATATACATGTTTATATATATACGCATGTTTATGCATACACACACACATATATATATATATACATACTCATGTATATAAATATACATATACGCATGTTTATATATATACCCATACTTATATATATATTATATATATACGAATATTTATATATATATATATATGCTCATGTTTATATATATATATATATATATATATATATATATATATATATACGCATGTTTGTTTATATATATATATATATATATATATATATATATATATATATATATATATATATATATATATATATATATATATATATATATATATATATATATATATATATATGTTTGATATTCTCGGAATCTGAAGTCTTCTTGTGGAGTTTTACCGACTTTTGATATTTGACATTTGTAAAAGGGAGAAGGACGAATATAGTCGATTGCTTTAAACAGGAAACTTAACTTTCCTCGAAGTGGGCTTCGTGTTGGTTTGTTTTGTGTGAGACATTTTCTGGGATTGGCAAACTACACCGATCTTTAAAGTAGGAAGGTATCTGCTTAAGTAATAATAAACATATGCAAAAAGGTAGGGAGAAGAAACGAGATACCCTGCGATTTCTTTGAATCAATGAAAGAATGAATGAATGAATGAATGAATAATAATAATAATAATAATAATAATAATAATAATAATAATAATAATGACGGTTTAGAAATAAAAAAAGAAATGTCATATTTTCCAAGTTATGCAAAATTCCATGTATTCATTTTATTCTAACATATAAAATGTAAACATAAATTATAAATGTTATATATATTATTAAAAAAAAATCACATTTAAATGTTTTATTTAAATAAAGAAAAATTAATTAAATTTAAATAAAATTTTCGTTTAATAAATTAATTTTATTTTATTTTATCATCCTTATATAAGTAACAAGTATTTCTCACGGTTGATACTTAAATATAAATTTCATATATTGTGTCATAACAAATTTAAATTGTGAAATTATTTTTAATTTATATATATTAGAATTAAGACCTCTTTTATTATATCCTATTATATAAGGTTTACGGCCAAATCACATTGAAACACAGGTTCCCGTACAATCACCGAAGTTGAGCAATGTCGAGCCTTGTCAGTACCTAGATGAGTGATCACTTGGGAATACCAGGTGCTGTAAGATTGGATTTTCGGAAATTGTTAACCGAAAAGCCGAGTTCCAGTTCACGAGCAAATACCCTTGGGAAAGTTACGAATACACCTTGTCTTCTCCCCCAGCTACGGGTTAATTAATAAGATTTATATCACTAAGCCATTATTATCTAAAAAATAAAAATTCTTATAACCTAAAAATATTTTCTGGCTTTAAATAACCTACAACGGGTTGGTAAGCCGTAAATATCAATCAATCATAATATACATAATAAAATGTATGTAAAATAAAATATGATGTTACGAATTAAACAGTCTTTGGTAGAAAGGGAAAAAAAATAGAAACTTGGCAACTATGAATGAACTTAAGAACATTATCCTGTACCGATCGTCGAACGAAACTAACCTGTAATTGCAAAATATCTTATTTTTTCTGTTTCTTCAATTAGTATTTATAGACACGGATAGAGAATATCTCCAAGTGATAGTCCACATCATCCAACATTTGTTAATAAGCAACAGGAAAGAAATAGAAAGCGTTAATCAGACGAGGCTGATTATAATAAAGCTATATTCAAGCATTGTACAATAATATTAAGTACAAAAACATTCTTAATGTTGTGGTAGGATCCACCTAATTTGCATAGTGGAGTACCGACCATATAAATATGGTTGGTACCGGGAAGAGAGGGGGGAATCAAGAGATTCAACCAGAGACTCTGCCCGACTGCGACTCAGTCAACACATTCTCCAGGAACGGTCTTACCAGGAATATACAAAAGACTATATGTAAATATTGTGTACACTTTCTTGTTTCAATACATTTTGTTCTAAGTACATTTTGTGTTGCATTATTATTCCATGCATTAGTCAAGTTTCAACACTTAATGAGTATTGTTTAATAATTAGTAATACAAATGAATGTCGAAGATGAGGGTGGTATTCATAATTGGGTTAAGAATGATCTTGAACAAAAAATCTGTATCATTTAATAAGAAAATCAAAAGAAATAACAACCACATTAACAGTAATGATAAACAGAATTTCAAATAAGCTTCATCTCACATTGATCATCGCGGGGTTTAACAAGAGACGTAACTCAAAAAGTGAAACCAGTCTGGAATTAAACATTATTTTATTGGCACACTACCTCCAAATCATGAAAATGGATATAGTCAGTGAATGATTCTAAATAACAGGTTTCCTCAACCAACATTTACTAATAAGTAAAATATTCTGTATCCCACCGCCCACAGACACAGAATGTTGAAGATGAGGGTGGCATTCATAATTGGGTCAAGAATGATCTTGAACAAAAAAACAAAACAAAAAACAAACTGCATCCTCTACCAATTATACGAAGAAATAAGGCTTAAAATAAACCTTTCCAAAACAAACTATGATCTGGAATTGAAATGAAAGCAGTGATGGTAGCTACCCTCAATCAATGATAAACATTCAAGATATGGAATTAGTAAATACTAAACACTTCAAATACCTAGGTGTATGGATCAGTTATAACAAATTTCTTATAGAAAATAAGGAATCTGTCTATATTTCTGAGATGAGTTATTATGTACACTATTTGCATTATTCGGACTGTTGTCCTCAACTTTGTCGCTATATTACAACGTTTCGGCCGTTGTACGCTCCGGACTTTTTCAGGTTGTTGGAATGTCGAACTGCACTCTTTATTTAGCTCACTAGAGTAGATGTTCTAGTTCCACGTGCCATGTTTTAATGGACGTCATTTATCAGTTATCTCCTGTTAATTCCCCTCTCCAAGTTCTCCACTGCCTTAACCGGGTATTGAACTCTCACTCTTTGGGTCTTGTCACTGGATCTAAACAACGCCTTTATCCACTGTGCCATGTGTGCAGTGGATAAAGGCGTTAGTTAGACCCAAAGAGTGTGAGTTCAATACCCGATTAAAGCAGTGGAGAAAATTTATCTCCATTTACATTATTCGGACTATTGTCCTCATCTTTGTCGCCATATTTATTACAACATTTCGGCCGTTGTACGCTCTGGCCTTCTTCAGGTGGTTGGAATGTCGAACTGAACCCTTTATTTCGCTCACTGGTGTAGACTGTTAAACATGGCACGTGGAACTAGAAGAGTCTACCCCAGTGAGCGAAATAAAGGGTTAAGTTCAACCTTCCAACCACCTGAAGACGGCCGGAGCGTACAACGGCAGAAACGTTGTAATAAATATGGCGACAAAGATGAGGACAATAGTCCGAATAATGTAAATAGTGTACATAATACCTGATCTCAGAAATATAGACAGATACTGAAGGGCCGAAACGTTGTAATAAATATGGCGACAAAGATGAGAACAATAGTCCGAATAATGTAAATAATGTACATAATACCTCAACTCAGAAATATAGACAGATACTGAAGGGCCGAAACGTTGTAATAAATATGGCGACAAAGATGAGGACAATAGTCCGAATAATGTAAATAATGTACATAATACCTCATCTCAGAAATATAGACAGATACTGAAGGGCCGAAACGTTGTAATAAATATGGCGACAAAGATGAGGACAATAGTCCGAATAATGTAAATAGTGTAGAAAATAAGGAAATAGAACATAGAACAAGCTGTGCTAAGGATAGTCTCCCCCAATTCCACAAGTTGCTACAAAACCAAAACATCAACCTAAAATTTAGTCATGTTCTAAAAACGCTTCGTCAGATCAAGACTTTCATATAGACGTCATGCAGGGCTACAGAATTGTTCATAAATATCTCAAGTGTCTGCTGTATACAACCGCTTTCTCTGATAGATAGTTTTAAATGGCTTCGAACGAATAAAGCTTCTAGGTTTCAGGGAGGACTTAAAATCTTGTGGAATGGTGTTAAAGAGTCACAGACAAAGAACTGTGCCATATAATGGAAACCAAGTCACTTGAGGACTTACAACAGCAGCAACAATTGAAATGTATAGCGAATTAAGCAGCAGAAGATCATACCAAGAGTTTACTGGGAATATATTTTAAGGAATAGATTAGATAAAAATATAAATTTTGTACATACTGAAGAGACAATTGATCGAATTTGGCACGAAATGAATTTAAAACTATGTATAATAGGGTAGTGTAATATATTCTTTGGAAGATATGCCTGCATTATAACCAATTCCATTCAGAAAAATGGTACGGGGTGAGAATCTTTTATTCGAAATTCTTGGGACCGGAAGTGCTTCGGTTTTCAGATTTTTTCCGGATTTTGGAATACAAACTATTTGATTTATATATAGCATCTATATTTTGGAGGTTATAGGATTTTGGAATTTCGGATAAAGGATATATTTTTTATTACTTTAAAGCTCCCAGGGCAGATGAGGTCACTTACAACGGCTGCACATCACTTTTCCATTTGTGGCAAGTGAAATTCTTTTGGATTTTGGAAGTTTTCGGATATTGGAATTTCGGATAAAGGACATTCAGCCTGCATAAACAAAAGGCACTGTCAGTACTAGAGGTCGTTTATTTGCTCTGGGTTTCTCTAAAAAGTACACGGACGGGATGATGAAGCTAAGAAGCCGAACGGACACAATATCGAACGGACATAAAGCCGAACGATCATAAAGTCGAGCAAACAAGAGGTCGAAAAGACATATCGAAAAATAAAATATATGATAAACAATTTATTCCAACAATATGACCATTTGACAAACTAAAAAAAAAAAAAAAATAGATAAAACTCATTTTTAAATAGGTTTCTATCCACTGAAAACGTACAACAATAATCTGAGCGAACAAAACCGAAGAAAATTATTTAAAAGTTGTGAGCCAAGGATCGTAGAAATGCCAATGCTTCTTTTTTATTATATGAACTACAAATTATTTTCATTCTATCGTTGATGGTATCATATTCTTTGTTAGGTCCTGATATGTAATAAATAAAATAGTTTAATTTGAAAAATATATAATTGGTGAATTGGTCATTAAACTATATAGGTAGGAATTTTATTATTATTATTATTGTCATCATCATCATCATTCGATTTCTGCTATGGACACACTACCTACCAAGTCTGCGGAAAGACCTAAAGGCAGGTCGTGGTGTGTTGTTATAAACATTTCATGTTAATTTTTTTTTTTTTTTTTTTTTTTATCTCCGATGAAGTTGCTAGCGTTACATAGACAAAGTTCTCCTTAGTGTGTGTGCTGTACTTAATAAGACAATTTTCTGTATGTCTCTTAAGCTGGGGTTTCCAGGGATTCTTTCAATGTGTTGTTTTGTTCCATTTTTTTAATTCCAAGTGCACCTATTACCACTGGTATTATTCTTGTTTTCAATTTCCACATTTTTTCTATTTCAATTTCCAGGTCTTTGTATTTTGATAGTTTTTCAAATTCCTTGGTTGCTATGTTACAATCCGCTGGACAAGCCATATCAATTAGTAGGCAAGTTTTTTCTTTCTGGTTTTTGACAATAATGTCCGGCCTATTTGCTTCAATTTTTCTGTCTGTGTGGATGGTATAATCCCATAGAATGGTGACATCTTCTATTTCTGTAACCGGCGCTGGCCGATGTTCATACCAGTGTTTGCTTACACATTTTCCAAAGTGTTTGCACATTGTCCAGTGTAAGTATTATTATTATTATTATTATTTCCCTTGATTTCTGATGTGTACTCATTTCTTTCCGGGTCTCGACCAGGGACCTAAGGTTAGAAATTGCATTATGACGTTTTCCACTTGGAAAAGAAAATTACATAGACAAAGCCCTTTGTAATGTGTGGGTTGTACTCGTGAGAACAGTTTTTTGTATTTCTTTAAGGTATGGGCTTCCAGGGATCCCTTCGTCTACTGGAATCTTTTCCAACCAATCAGTGGGCTCCAACTACAACGGTGATTGTTGATTTATTATTATTATTATTATTATTATTATTATTATTATTATTATTATTATTTCCTTTGATTTCTGGTGTGTACTCATTTCTTTCGTAAGGTTAGAAATCGCATAATAACAATAACTGAGCAATTTAAAAAAAAAGAAGCATATTTTACA